TTCAGTAGTTTCTTGTTTTTGGAAAAATGCATCGTTAATTGTAATCTTGTAATGTTTGTACAATGGAGTATTAATCAAGTAAGTAAGCCAACGTTTTATTGTATCTTTCTTCAAATTTCCTTCCAGATACGTAGATTTGTGAATCAAGTTTCTCTTTATATGGACGTTGAAACTGTAATCATCGTCCAAATCTCTAGGTAGTAGCTTTACCATATTATTAACATCTACTGGAACATTGATTACTTGTTCCAGTATCCCAAATGCACCCAATTAATGTCTTAACCTCCTAATTAGCATAAATGAAAGTCTAGGAGATATAATCTTTCGCTTATGCAATCTAGTGGAGGCAAATCAGTGGGGTATGGGGGGTACATAAATCTATTATTCCTGGACAATACAGGTATTTGCTGCTTATTTAAAGATAGCCAGCATGTTGTGCATACCTTAAAATGGGTTACATTTTCATTTACAAACTCCTTATTCAATTTATCTAAATGGCTATCAGTAACTTGTTTCAAATCTTTTTCAAACCATAACCGATCACATACATTGCAAGCGTATCCAAATATACTTTTTCATTAAAATGTTTATGAAAATATTCTGTTGCATTGTCATACCTTGGTTGCGCGATTCTTGCAGGTACGCTTGCACTTGCAAATGATGTAGAAGCATTAACTTGCACTAATTGCTTCTTGCGATTTCTATATTCTATTTTACGTTCAGCATTAGTTTTTGGTATTTCTTTGGGAACCTTAGGTTCATTATTTGATAATAATTGCTTCTTTCGATTTTTATATTCCCTTATACATTCAGCATTAGTTTTTGGTATTTTTTTTTGGGAATTTCAGGTTCATTATCTAATACTTCTATATTTTACGTTTTCTGTACTGTCTCATATATTTTGCTTTATTGAGTTTTTTTTAGCTTAAATGTCATCCATCTTGTACATAGTATTACTCAACAAACTAACGTAAAAACAGATTACTTAATAATTCTTATATAAGATAAGTACTTGTGATATTGTAAAACGT